CACCTAATAAAATACCCGGGTATATTATAATGGGTACGGTCAAATGGGGGTCTTTTAGGCAGTGCTCTACGGTAATATTTCCATTTCACATGAATTCATCTGGAGACATGAAAAAAAAAGGATATGAAAGTTCTGTCCCATTAGCAACTCTGATGCTCATAAATCGGCATATTGAAATATGAAAAGCATGGGCACAAGCACATTTAAATAACAATTGAGGTCAAATAATATTTACTGATGAGACAGCATTTGATCTTTTTCGAAATAAGATCAGTTGATGGCATAAAAATGGTAAAAGACCCATCTGGAGGTTGTCAAAATCTAGTCAAAAAGTGATGGCATGGGGAGGGATTTCAAAAAAATGGAAAAACACCTCTCTTTTGTTTTATTAATATTATGGATGGACCATTTTATGTAAATATATTGCAGAACCAGCTTCTACCTGCTGCAAGAAATATGTATAGAAGAAGCTGGCATCTGCAATAAGACAATGATCTGAAGCACACTTCACGTGTTGCAAAGAAGTTCATTGCTGAAAATTTGATTCGTACTATTGATTGACCATCCAATAGTCCAGATTTTAATCCTATTAAAAATATGTGAATGATCGTCAAAAATAATGTTGAAAAGCAGATGCCTCAAAATATTAATGAGTTGACCAAATTTTTGGTTAAAGAATAGGATGCAGTCTCTCAATCAACAGTGAATAATTTGGTTATATCCATGAAAACCAGATGTGAAATAGTTTTAGAAAAAAATGGCGATAGAATATTTATTATATTGAAATTTTTTTATCTAATAAAGGAATTGATCAGCTTTTAAATAAATTTAAATTCATTCAAATCAGATAGGTAGTTTTTGAGATATATTGCTTTTTGTCACCGCCATTTTTTTCATTACATACTGTACATAAAAAAGCATGAGATAAATCTACAGATATATCATATGTATCTTTATTAGATATTAATTTTATTTAATGCATGTTATTTCTCACTTTGAAAGCTTTATTTAATATCAAAGTAATGAATAAAAATAAATTTAGTCAAACTAATTCTGTTGATAATTTTAATCAAAGTATAATCATTTTATAAATATTTTATATTATTTCTTTATCATATAATTGATTTTTAATCATTAATTATTTTCTTTTTATTAATAATGATCAATAATGTAAGATTTATAATGCCAATTAAAAGTTTTAAGTGAACAAAATAAAAATTTGCTTAAACAACTTAGGCAAAGTCAAAATATTTTATTAGAAGAATCTAATCAAAATGTATGTAATTTCAATATAATTTTAAAAAATTTTGCTTAAAATGAAAACTAACTATAAATATTATAGTTATCAAGAAGATCTTCAGTTACATCTATCGCATCAGTATTTTCTAATACATCTGTATCTAATGCTGTTGCAGAATCTTCAAGTCAGAAATTGTATACATCAATATCAGATTCTATTTTGTTAAATATGACAGTAGCTAGCAATAGTATTCTAAAACCTCATAGAAGTAAAGCTAAAAATATTTGTAGAGAGTTAAAATTACAAAAAGTTGTTTATCAAGATTATCTTGTAAGTTAAATTTAATTTTATAACAAAGTATAATAATTAAAAATTAATATATTTAATATTAATTCTGTTTTTAGAGTAATTTGCGTGATCTAATTAAAGCTGGAGTATTAGATTTAAATAAAAAATGGTGAGACCAAGACATGAGAAAATTTTTAATTCTTATTAAAATGGTAAAATTTATTTTTAAATAATTGGAAATTTTAGATTTTTTAATTTATGTATTAATATATTATACTATTAGTTCAAATAAAAAAATCTCTCTTTTCCTAATTGTATCAATGATTGGGTTATAAAAGAATTAGCATAAAGTATTATTAACAACAAGTGTAAGTATTGTTATTATAATTAATTAAAACTATTTTATTTTAACTTTTTTTTTACTTTTTTTATTTTAGGTGAAAATTCACGAGATAAGGAAAAAAATACTATGGCAAATAAAGATTAAGAGCAAGATGGAGAATTATAAGATGAAAATGAAGGTTAAGTGTAAAACAGTAAATCACGAGATAAAGATGAAGATCAAATGCAAAATGATGAATCACAAGATGAAAATGAAGATCAAATGCAAGATAGTGAATTAGAAATAACAAGAAACAAAAATAAAAATCAAGAACAAAATGATGAAATAGAGATAGTGTTAAATAAAGATCAAGAAAATAATAAAATGTTGTCTAATACAAAAAAGAGATCTCAATATAACAAGGTAATAATAATAATATATTAATTAATTGAAAGAATATTGTATTAATAATAAGTTACTTTATATTTAATAATAATTTACCTGTTTAGAAGAAAAAATCACTAGTTACTGCAAATACTAATCAAAAGTCAAATTTATATTTTAATGATAATGATTATGAATTATCATTACAACAAGTTAGTATAAATTTTTCATTAAACTGTATATTTATAATATAAAATTTGAATATTAAACTTGAATTTTTTTATATAGAATCTCAATGTTTTTGAATATGAAGTAGTAGTATCTGATAAAAAAGGTAAAAATAGTATAGTTAAAAATAGAAATAATAAGCAAAAAAGAGTATACGAATTAAATAATAATAAAAAGCAAAAAAATAAAGAAATCAAAGGTAATAATGAACGAAAATCTCACAGAATAGTGATAAAAGGGTTAATAATTATGTATAATATCATTATTTATTAATTTATTAATTTAAAAAAAATTCTAATATTTTTAATTAATTAATTTTAAAGAATACAAGAATTAATTAGATTATAATGTAGGATTAAGGCATGAATAGAGTTCTGAATGAGTTGAGTTAACTCATGAGTCAGATAAGCTGAGTCAAGTTTAAATCAAGTTGAATTTATATTTTTTTGACTCGATGATTTATGAGTCAAATCAAATTCGAGTTGAGTTAAATATTTAACTCAACTCGATTTAAACTCGACTAAAACTCGACTTGACTCGAGTTGACTTGAAATAGTATTATTAATAAATTAATATTTTAAAACTATAAAAATTATACAT